TTTTTTTTTTTTTTTTTTTTTTGGGGCATCTATTTTGTCAAGTTCTTGTTTTTATTACTGATTAGTAAGTAATGCATTATTTTTATCGATTTTTTTACACCTGGAGGATTCATATATATATGTTGCGGATTACATGTTCAGTAAATCAAGCTTTTGAGGCTCCTTGAATGTAGAGCATATGTCGTCATTCAAAGTTATTAAGTGCTTGGAATGAAGATGAGTTTTTTTGTGCCAGTTTCATTTGACTTCTTTGATAAGACACTTCTTTTGAATAGAAAATTACAACTATAACAGAGTTGTTTATTTCAGTCTTGTTGAATGACAATTGACTTATAGAATTACTGAGCGACTGCCTGTCAGTCTGAGGAACAGCGTGACGATTTGAGAGAACATAAATTTGAATCCATGTACTCTGATAGGCGTAATAGACATTATATCATTGTATTTTGGATAAACTCCACAGACCAAGCTTCCTTTCATCAAGTGTTCTAATATAAAAAGAATTAAGTGTTCCTTTCCTGTCTTATATCATTTTTTTATTATTATTATTATTTTTTTATTTTTTATTATCATCTTAGCTTTTGGAATTACAGTTTACATGCATCTCTGAATACTCATCGTGTTACTAAGACATTCCACTTTTGTTATGGCATTCTCATTACTCTCTCTCACCCTTTTATTCTCTCTCTTGTTAATAGGTATTGGTTGTATGCTGCTGTGAATTCAAAGTGTTTGCTGGTTACAAATGATGAGATGAGGGGTCACTTGTTCAATCTTTTAGGCAATAACTTCTTCCCTAGATGGAAAGAAAAGCATCAGGTAGTTTCTTTCATTAGTTATTATAAGAGTATTGTTGTGTCGTGATGGGTAATTGGTCACCGACTTGAAAGGAATGAAATACATTTACATTCTAAATCTTGCATGCAGGGAAAACAATAAAGTAGCCTATTGTGTATTCACATGTAAATATTGTTGGAATATCACTTGTGAGTCGTCTCACATTGATTTGATAGGGTAAATGAGCTTAGTTTATAAGCCTAGCGGGCTACTCCTCCCATAATTATCTGGTTTTGGGATGGAACCTCACTATGGTGCACCTAGGCTCACCCTATTATGCACCTGTGTGGGACTGCGGAACCGCATTTCTGATTTATTGATTATCAAAATTGACAAATATTCTATTGAATGAAAGCAAATCAAAATTATGAATCAATAAAGTAGTCTGTTGCGTATTTATATGTTAATATTCACGAATCTACAATATTGAATGAAAGCAAATCCAAATTATGAATCACCTCACAGTTTTTATTATTATTATTATTATTATTATTATTATTATTATTATTATTATTATTATTATTATTATTATTATTATTATTATTATCGTTCTTGTAATTCAATGAATTGCAGGTCCGGATAAAACCTTCTCTTAAAGGGCTGCTAACCTTGTGCATGCCACCGCCTTATTCACTTGTCATCCAGGTAGGATAATCCCCCAATCATCTTTATGCATTATTTTCATATCTGAATAATTGTCATTCTTGTATTCACTGCAAACACGATTCCCAGGAATCTGAACAAGGTAGTTGGCATATACCGACTGTTACTGGAGACGATCTTGAGACCCCAAGACAATGGATTTGCGCTACAAGGATGAGACCACAGGTGTAGTTCACATCATTACATGTAAGATGAGAGATGAACAAACGTACTGCTTGAAAAAATGCCTCCCATATCGTATTTCAAATGACGTCTTGAAGTTGTAAAGTGGGTATTCTTTCTGCCTTCAACCACGACCTTCTGTAAGCCTCGATGGAAATTAAGAATCTTGGTCATAAATGCAATGCTTAAATTAGAACTGAATGACCCATTCAAATGTGTAAACCTTTGGCAAGTGTCCTTTTCTGATGATCACTTACTTTATACATCGTCTTTTTGTTTTCCAGCATGTGTATGGTTGTTCTTGAGCAAATTACTCTGTGGGACGAAGAGTGATGGTACCTTTATCAATCCTTTAGGTGTAACAAGCAGATAAATTATGGGATGCAATGCTATATACTAAAGCAAAACTTTAATGTTTTTCATTATTATTATTCAGGTTATTTGGTACAAAAGCCCCACTGAATCTAAATTTTATTTCAGAAAAAAAGGGACTATTTGCAGCAAAGAATATAGTTGCCACTCAAGACGTCTGGAGGTTTTTACTATTCAAACGGTAATAATTATTGTTGTTCATGTGAATAAACTTCGGTTTTTTTGTTCAAAAAACCTGTTTCTTGAACCTGTTTCTTGTTCAAGAAATTTGTCTCTTGTTCAAGAAACCTCTGTGTCATGTTCAAGAAACACGTGTCTTGTTCAAGAAACCTGTTTCTTATTCAAGAAATCTGTTTTTCTTGCTTAAGAAACATGTTTCTTGTTTCTTGAACAAGAAGCTATATCTTGAATGTTTTTGTTCAAGAAATTATTTATTGTTCTAGAAACTGTTTCTTTGTTAGTTCAAGAAATTATTTGTGCTTTGTTTTGTTTGACAAATTTCTACTAATGTTTTATTTTAATATATTTAAGTATTGTGTTCTTATAAAAAAAAGAAACCGTTTAAAAAATTAATATTATTTGATTCATGATCTATACGGTATTACGGTGTGATGGTTGGAGTTGAAGATGGCGTAAATCTTGCACCTAGATTATTTCATCATTGGTTGTTGGTTACTTTAGATCATTAGGGTTACCACCTAAATTTGATGCTTTAAGGCGATGCCGGTGCAAGAACAATTTGTGTAGTTAGTTTTGAAAACTTGGTTGATTGAGTTTGTACTTGGTTGTAAGTTGCGTTTGTTTATATTGAGCATTTCAGTAAGGTTGTTGAATGTGATTAATTTTGAAAACTTGGTTAATTGAGTTTCGATGGTTGTAAGTTTGATTCATTGATACCGTGCATTTCATTGAGGTTGTTGAATGTGTCTTAAAGTGAATGTATACTCGCTGATTGAGTATTGTGGTTTGGTTTGTAATTTCGATATTTTGAACTTGATTGTATTTAATATTATATTACTGGTATGTAGGTCCATAAATCGTTTGTGGGTTGATTTTTTTTTTTTTTTTAGGTTTTTATCTCTTTTCTTATTGATAGCGTATGGTAGTAATTTTGATTAGTTACCGAAAAATCACTAGAAATTTAGTCCATAGTATTGTATACTACATGTGGATATTTGATTAGAAAAATATATGTAATCTTAGTCCATGAAATTGGTAGTCACACATGTTGATATCTCCACTAATAATGTCATGAACTCTATTTATGAAAGCTTCATATGATGAGGTCTTAAGACATTAAAAATTCATATGTCTCGCTATTTTTGTACACTTTCTCATTCCAAAAGCCGTTGCGAACAATTCGCACTTTACTAATGTTCATCTGAAAAAGGGTAAAATACTTTTTCCCATCCATACTATCAAGATTTTGGCGCATCACCATATAAATTATTTTTTTTACAAACCACCATATGAATTATACGAGTTTGTCAATATGTTCCCTAAACAGGATGTAAAAGTGGTTTAGGGGGCACATTGACAAACCCGTGATAGTTCATATGGTGGTTTGTAAAAGTATTTAGAGGGTACATATGGTGACCAAACAGTTTTTTCAGTCAAAACCACTTTTATATTTGGTTTAGGGAGCACATTGACAAACCCGTATAGTTCATATGGTGGTTTGTAAAAAAAAAATAGTTTATATGATGTGCCAAAACCGTGATAGTTCGGATGGGAAAAAGTATTTTACCCTCTGAAAAAAAAAACAAAGAAAATGTTAGTACAAATAGTTTCTTCAATTTTTTTTTCTTGAAATGTGTTTCTCGACAAAAATATATACTTCTTCAGAGCTCAAGAAACAATTTCATGTGACCCAAGAAACATTTTCTTGCCAATCCACCAACGATTTCTTCAGAGCTCAAGACACGATTTCTTGGAAATCAAGAAACTGCTTCTGGTAGCACAAGAAACCATTTCTGGGAGCTCAAGAAACAATATCTTGTTCAAAAAACGTTCCTGAAACAGTTTCTTGTTCAAGAAACATAGAAGAATCTGTTTCTTTTTCAAGAAACAGTTTCTTGAACAACCTCCTGTGTCTTGAATAAGAAATTGTTTTTTGTTATTTCTTGTTCAAGAAACTGTTTCTTGAACAACCTCTTGTGTCTTGAACAAGAAACAATTTCTTCAATGTTTTTTGTTCAAGAAATTGTTTCTTGAACAACCACTTGTGTCTTGAAGAAAAAACGGTTTCTTCAAAAAAAAAAAAAAAAATACTTTTTCACCCTTTTTTTCTGAAGCAAAAAAATCTATTTTCTTGGCATTCGAAAAAAATATATGAGTTCAACAAAATAAAATGGTTCTACAAAAATCAATAATTTTGGAGCTCATAAATGGCTTTTAGAAATTAAATGTTTTTAAAAATAATTTATTTAATATATTCAAAAAAAATAATAAATTAGGTTTGTGTACCTTTCTTTCCAAAGGTATTAACTTGGATGTGATGGAGATGACTATTTGAAGATGAGATAATTTTTTTTTTCTTTTACTGCGGAGATGAGGCCCAATTCGGTGAATGATTTTTTATTTTTATTTTTTCTCAATTTTTTGTTCTTTTAGGAGATGGAGACTGACCTGTGAGTGTTTTATTTTCATTGTTTTTTACGAGATCGACCGATCTGTTATGTGTTAGACTTTTTTCCCCTTTTTTTTTACTGTTAATGAGATGAGAGAGAAGGAAGTCTTGATGAGAGAGTAATTACAATGGACGGATGATGAGGGAGAAGGAAAATGGTGGTAGGTTAAAATATCAATAAGGGTAAACTAGTCTTTTTAACTCTCAAAATGACTATTTTTTATTCTTTTTTCAAACATGGCTATAATTCATTTTTATCCTCAAATAGTGGCCATAAAAACGCCGCTTTGTAATAATAAACCCCAAATCACAAAGCCTAAGTACAAACAATCACAAAAAGATGACGAAGGCAAAGGCAGAGAGCACTACCCCACAAGGTAAGCTAAATGAATCAACCAAACACTAGTACCACCAAAGACAGAAAGAACATTCAGAACCCTCTAGTGGTAATACCAAATACAAGCACACTACAAGTACACTATCAGACTAAACATACAAACATAACCCGCAAACAAAACTAAGTTAACCTAGACACCGAATTGCCATGCAGACCTATCTAAGCCACCATGTTTCTACTGCAAGTCTTCAATGCATTTGATTCTTACCATTCAAGCCATGCTCCTTTAACTATACCAGATCTGACCTCGTCCTAAAATCTGCCCTCCTCTACTGCAATTCCATCCCACCTCACCTGAGCTTGATGTCAGACCTTTCTAGCTCTACTACATGTAAGCAGAACATGTTCCACTGTTTCCTCTAATTCACCACAGCAGCTTCATATGACATCAACTTCTATACTCTTTCTCCTCAAACTTACAAAGACAGACAAGGATCTAGTCACACATTTCCACGGAAAAAGTTTCAATTTACCTTTAACTTGGAGATTCTAGCTCCTCTACCTGATCTGGGGCTAGCAGTTTCCTTTGGTGGAGATAAAAATATGAAGATGCCACTGAAAATCTACCTTGAGTTCCCATTTTCCATCTCCATTTATCCTCAACGTGATAGTCCAGCTAGTGCCTGAATTTGTAGCAGAGCTTCACAGTCTTCTTCTTCTATCAATTTTCTAATCCTCTGCTCATTCCACATATTCCTGCTTCCATCAATAAACTCCTGATCTTTAACTTCCCACCTTCAGTCCCATCTTTGAGTTGCAATCTCCTTCCGCTGGTACCTAATTGAAGTCATTAAGCCTCACTGAAGCTCCATTCCTTATCTCCACCTGCAATCAGTCTCTCAACAACCACTTAACTAACCATCATGATCTCATCAGTCAGGATGAATTGTGGTTTAATTTTGCTTCAAAGATAGATGTTTTTGGAAAGTACCTACACTTTAGGATTTTGCTCATGAGAAGTTGGGGCTGTGTGATAACTCTCTAGAGCTGTTTAACCAACATTGCATCATTAAAAAGACTGACTTCTTTGAAGCCCAGTCCTCGATGTTCTGTAGCTAAATTGAGTAGCTCCCATCATCTCCAATGCACCCCCTGGTATGTTCACCCCCTATGCTTCACCAGAATTGTGCAAAAGTTCTTGCCACTTGCTTACAAATACTGGTAGGCAATCTGTAGCATGAAAATAAAGGGAGAGCATTAAGTATAGATTTAATTAAAACTTCCTTCCCTACTGAGGAAAGATATTTATTTTTTCAATTATCACCCTGCTTCTCACTGTCTCTGTCGCAAACCGAAAAACCTCTTTCTTAGACTGGCCAATGCCAAGAGGCATCCCCAAATACCTGGTTGACATCTGAATATGAATTCCCAGGAGTACATGGCACACTTCACTCTGCACTGCAAGATTTATATTCTTACTGAAGAATATTGATGATTTAGCTGTATTGACTTTCTGCCCTGAGAACTTCTGGTATCTTGATAGTATTGATATCAAGACTTGAGCTTGTACTTGTCTGCTTTGCAAAAGACCAAAGACTCATCCGCAAATAGTAAATGAGTAAGCATAGGGGCACCTCTGGCCACTGACACCCCACTGAACACTCCTATTTC